CGTTTTCTATCGTATAAATATTTTTGGGAAGTGTTCATACATCCGAAATATTTTATCCGATTGTCATAAATTTTAGGTATAAACCTGGGGACATTTCATTAAACTAGTGATTAAAATCGTAGTTTGGTAGTAACTAAGGCCAGTGACCAGTGACAGCTGACGCTGTCTAGTTTAAAATTTTCCGGGAATTATCCGAACCAGGACTTGTTAATTTAGTAGACATTTTGTGATTTTTTTTTGTTTTAATTAATTAGATATGTCTGAATTGGTTGAAGATACAGAATACGACGAATATGAAGAAGAAATTGATAAGGTAAATAAACGTAGTCAAACAACAATGACACATATATACGTATAGCGTTTTTATTAATATAATAACATGTAAAAAACATTCATTTGTATAGGATGGGCCAGAAGGTGACATTCAAGAAGTGAGGGTTGAAGAACTTTTAATAAACTGCGTTGAAGCCAGACCGCCTCTTTGGGATAGTCGCCTTCCATTAGTTCAACGTTCAAAAACAATTAGAGACGAGTTATGGCTTGAAATATATCAAGAGTTCGGTGGTAATAATTGTTTAAATTTATTTATTCAGTAGTATTTACAGAAATTAAAGCTGCAGATATGCATTACATCAACTAACAGAGTTCCTATTTTGCTTATTATATTGTTTATTTCAGAACAGCCAGAGTTTTCAGTCAAATTTCTCATGAATAAATGGAGAAATTTAAGAGATACATATGTGAGAGTAAAAAATGAATACGAATCATACAAAAAGAGTGGATCGGCTTCAAAAAAAAAAGAAAATTTGGGAATTCTATGAACATATGTTATTTTTAAAGGATACCTTAAATCATAGACCGTAAGTTATTGAATAAAATAGTCATTTTTATAAATATGAAGTAATTTTATTGATTGTAGAACAACTGGTAATATTGTAAATACCCAATCACTATTACCTGAGGATAATCCATTAAAAAAAGCAACAACCTCAAAACAAACTGCAGAAATGGCAATTATTAATGCCTTAGAAAAAATAAATTCACCAGTGGTGCCACCTCCTCCTCCTCCTCCTCCTCCTCCTCCATCTCTTCAACCAAGCCTTCAAGTTAAAGAAGAGGTCAATCCTATATGTCTGAGAATATCTGAAATATTACATCATGTGCCACAAGGTGAAAGAACAATCCCAGAGATCAAACTGATGCAAACAGCTTATGAAGGAGCAAAAAAATGCTTACAACCTTAAGACAAAATATGTTAAATTATTTAACTTGTATAGGGAGTGATATCCAACCTTGTGTATTTTGGGAAACATCAGTTTTTTATTACTTTAATCTTAGCTACTTAGGTTATCTTATGGCTCCTAAAATACATAGGGTTCCATACCTATAGTGCCTACTTAAATAATAAGATAAGTTAATAAACATTTATTTGAAATAAACTATAAATATTTTAAGAATTTTATTATTTATTCCATTGGAAAGGAATAGCACCCTCAAATAAAAAATGAGAAGTCAATGTTTCTCTCATTGTTTTAGCTTCTTTCCCATACATATTACTACTGGCTCTATTGATAGGTACTAAATTACTCATATTCTGAATATCATTATGCCATTCTCCATGTATTACAGCCCCACCTCCATCTTCTCGATCAACTGCAGCTAAAGGGCAGTAACGTTTCTTTTCATCGGTGGTTTTTGATTCAAAAATCATTACCTTATTATGTAAGCACACAGTGGATTTTACTATAGCTTCAACAGTAGGTAATAATAATAATAATAATAATAATAATAATAATAGCTTTATTGCCCAACAGTTTCCCATTTACAGGACAATATTCTTAATAGTAAGTAACAATAATAAAGTGGTATCTAAAAATAAAATTAATAAATTACAAAAGTAAATTCTACTTATGGGTTGTGATGTAACATATATTTACACGAAAACTAATTAAAAGTTGCAAAATAAAAACTATAATAGAAAACAAATGAATATTGTGAACAAGCCAAGAATATATTAAAAAAAAAAATTCTTACAAAAATAACACAGGGAGAATTCAATATAATACAATATACTTATTACAATATTTCGTTAAGGAAAGTAACTGCATTTTTAATTAGTTCACCAAGAGAACAATGAAAAATATCGCAATGACTACTAATTTTATTGTAATTGTTACACATTACATATAAGGGTGATTTTAACATCAAGTTGGTTTTTGCCCTAGGGCATTCGAATAGCTTGTTGGTTCTAGAATTTAGACGGGGTATGAAGCTATTATTGGTTTTCTGTAAATACGCTATCTGGATGCCAAAATGCCAAATACGTTTTCAATCACCCTTCTTCCTCTACTTAATCTAAAATATAAGAAAAGATACACCTATATGAGCATTAAATTTCAAATCCCATCAAACCTGTAATTAAAAATCCTCTCATTTTGTGGAAGAAATCGACCTGGATAAGGCCGCATCATTGTTGTTGTTAGTGGAAATGCTTCATCTGCAACCATAAAGTAGTTTATTGGATCTCCATAATCCTCAATAGGTTCAGGTGTAGGTAAATGTAATTGTCCATTTAACATTAGAGTACCTATAGCACTATTTCTATATATCCCACCATCACTATGACGCCCCTCTCCTCCAATATCGACCATAGTAAATTTGTAATTGGCATCGCATACTGCTAATAATACTATGCTGTGACTGTTTTTATAATTGTAAAATGTTGATCCACATTTTGAGGGAGCCTAAAAAATTAGAATAAAGTACCTACATAACAAAGATATAGGGATGCGGTGATCTACAAAAAGTTTCTAAAGTAGGTCTTAAAAAAAATCGCGCGTTTCTGAATGTATAATTCTTTTTAAGTGTTAGTTTTCATCAGTTTGCATTTAATTTAAAGCGATGCTTAGTTATCATGGACATGACTTGTATCTTCGTCTCTCAAGGCCTTCTTTAGAAACCATTTTTGAGGATCATTCTTTATAAAATAACGTGAAATAACGTTACTTAATAAGCTGAACCTTAGACTCTATTCTATCTTAATGCAAATCAAACATACTTGAATAATAACATGCTTCCCATCAATCGCTCCTACACAGTGAGGAAGCTGCCACCTTTCTTCAAATTCTTTAGCGACTACCAGCCACATTTCCTCTGACGGTTGCTTTAAAACTATTTGGTTTAAGGAATCCCATATACAATTACATGTTTCACGAATAATATGCGAGACTGTACTGGGACCAATTCTAAATGCGTAGGACATTGAAACCATGCTGTCGCCACTTGCTAAATACCTATATGACAAATTACATTTTACCAAAATATTTACTATTTATGCCGTGGTAAGAACCTACCTTAAAGTTAAAGCAAGTCTCTCACTAGGTGAAATTGGCTCTCTTGTCCAATGCACCCTCCGTAATTTTGGACCTATTATATCCAATAATAAATTAAAAGTTTCAGCTGACATTCTTAAATAATTAAAATATTTTTCCTTGTCAGTCAATCTCATTTCCAGTAATAAATTGTGGTATGCACCTTGCGATTTTCTTTTAAAAAATATGTTATGTTGCCAAAATCGCTTTGGTCTTTTTTTTCTTTTTAATTTTAGCCATAAAAGACTTAATAGTAGCACTGTGTTTTCTTTGTTATACCGTTGTTGACACCAATAATTCTCCATTTGTTATAAAGTACACGATCGTCGGATAAAAGTTAAAATATATTCAACTTCTCCGACGTCGGACAAATAGTTAAAAGTTTCGTGGAGAGAATCCCGCCAAATATTTTTTTAAATATTCAGCCAATAGAAACATTTTCGGATCATCGTATTGTCGGATATCGTACGTGTGAACAGTAAGCTTTACAACGAGCAAAATATCTCAGCTGATATTTTTAAATTACAATTTAAATAACAATGCTAAACACTATCCACCTTAATTGTTTTTGTATTTTATTTTGTTCCGTTTCCTTGTTCTTGTGGTTTATTTCTTCATTGTGTTCATTTTAATACATACGTTTTTTGTGAGATTTATTTCTTCATCGAATTTGGTCTAAAATAATATTTTTATCAAAATAATATCAAACAGCTCAAAAAATTAATCAATATCTTATGTAAAAAATGTTTCCAAATTGATGTACAGTAGAGCGTAGAGGTACAAACTCACACAAGATAAAGATATGCTGTGTAATCAATTTACATTTGGAAGTGTTGCCTCTATAGCTTTAAAAAATAGACATGTTAGAAATGTAATAATATAAATATCATTTTAGAAAGTCCACTTGAAAAATAAAACTAATGATAATACCTCGGTCTGCTGATAGCGATACTAATGGTTCAAGAAGATTTAATGTTTTAAGTATATTCATAAATATAGGTACAACTTTTTTCGGCATTCCGGTAAATTCTATAGTGAAGAGTGAAGCGTTGTTATCGGTAAAAATGTAAAAAAGTTCAGGATTGCAAAGAGCAAAAAATTAATAAAAAAGTTATTGTGCTTGACCACCACATGACATTAAAATTTAAAAATCTTAATTTGACAGGTGACAGGGGTAAGATGTCCTGTATTTGGATTCTGTTTGCTATCGAGTAACTCGATGTCGAGTAATTCGATGTCGAGTCACTCGATATTGAGTTGCCACACTATAGGGCAGGGTTTCCGAAGTGACGATATGACACTAGTGTGTATCGTTGGCACGACATATGCGATTCCGAACAACATTCGATGTCGTCGGGTGTACTGCGGGTGGCCTAAATTTTCACGACAGCTCTTTAGTTATCGTCAGATCGTGACGATAAAACCATTTCTTTTTAAAAGTATTTTGTTCTCTTTTTATTCTAGTTTACTAGTGAACAAGTAGTTTTTATTTTAATTTTTCCATCGACTTGCTGTTGTATCATTCAACGGTTTTTATTTAAAATCTTTTCGGATTCTATTGAAAATCGAGATAAGTAATAGCTATAATAAAATTACTAAATAATATGTCCATTTTATTAGATAATACACATGGCTATTAAAGTTACTCCAGCCCACTGGGAAGTTCTACTGAATTTCATGGAGGCCCACCCCGATTTTGCTAGAGGGCGAATTTCTGGACCAAATGCCAAATATATAATGAAGAAATTATGGTCAGCATGTGCCACAAAACTAAATTCAGTAGGAGGTGGAGCCCGAAAAGTTGATAAGTGGCAGAAAGTAAGAAATAAACTTGATAACACATTTTCACTTGGTGGCTATACTATTTTCTTTTCAGACATGGACTGATTTTAAGTACAACCTTAAAAAGAAGGCCTCAGCTCTCAGGCTGGAGCAAACTGCCACAGGCGGAGGCCCACCTAATATGACCCCCCTTTCTGAAGTCGAATTAAAAATTTTGGGTATATTGGGACAAACTTTTTATGAAGGTATTGGAAGACACTAAAATGGTATAAGGATCATAAGTTATTTATTTTGTACTAGTTTGCTAATTTACCATTTTAATGCAGGTTTAATAGAGTCAGAGATTATACTTCAAAACTCACCAGAGCCCATGAGTTTGAATACGCCAAATGAAGAAATAGATACCAATTTAATTGGAGAATGTGGTGCGGTTAAAGAATGTTCCAAGACGGGTACAATTCAAAGGTAATTTATAATCTTGTCTAGTAAGTTAGGTTAACAATTTATTTTTGTAGGACACCCATAAAGAGGTTTTCCGACCATGATTATGTTAAATTACCTCAGGGTACACGTCCCAAAAAAATGAAAACAACTGAAACAGAAAGGAGACGCTATCTAAGTTAAAAGAAATAAGAAGCACTTTGCAGGAAGTTAATATTAATCTCCAGGGTGTGCATTGTGCATTAAATAGAATAGCGGATATTATGGAAAAAAGGTCGAAAAGTAAAATTTATGTGTAATATATATTTAAGTGTAGTTGTAAGATTAATTTTATTATATTAACGCCCATTTGCGCCGACTTTTTTTTAAGTGTTATTTAACTAATGGACCTTTAACTTTAATTGCCACTTAAGTTCCAAATGATTTGCACGGAAACATTTTCTCAAAACTTTAACTAAACGGTTCTTCATCTTCGGTACAATTTGGCAATGTCGCAATCACATAGTGATTTTTGTGTTTTCTGCACGTTTTCTGTTACAGTTGGTTACAGTGTTAACAGAGAGTGTTAACCTTTAAAAAATCGAAATGTTAATGTTTTATAGTTTTTAATTTCGTTAGTGGTAGGGTTGGTTTTTGTGGTGTTTTAAAAATTAAAATTATCAGTTTTTCAAGATGTCGGCAGAAGCAAAGCGAGTTAGGGGGCTGAATTTTAGCCCTAGGGAGGTGAACCATCTTTTTGTATTGGCACATCAGTATAAAAATATATTGGAGAATAAACAAACAAATGCTTCCACTAACTCAAAAAAACGAAGCCTGGATGAAAATAGGTAACGAGTTTAATGCAACTTCGATCGATTTAAATAACAACAATCGACCAACTAAAAAGATGCTATGAGAATAAGAAGCAGGTAATGAGAAAGAAAAAGGCACAAGTCCGACAGGAGGTCCTGAAAACTGGTGGAGGCTTGCCACCTCCCATAACCAAGAAGGATGAACTTGATGATTTAGTGCTTGCCACCATGGATCCTATGACAGTGGAGGGGCACTATAATCAGTTTGACTCGGATGTGAGTTGCCCAGTCCCTGAAACAAGCTCTGCAGAAATTGAATATGTGTTTGAAAATTCCGTAAGTATTTATTCTATTTCTTTATTATCTTATAATTCATTTAAATATATTGGTATTGGAAAAGAACAAGTGACAAATGATCAAAATTACAAATTTTACTTGATCATATGACTCAAAATCAATTGTTTGGATTAGGTATGTCAGCCTTTTATGACCTTATCTTTCAGCAGTACCAAACCATGTCATTTTTGTTGTTTAATTAGGGGTCTGGGTAGCCAAATTAATAATGTGTAGAGTACATTACTTACTATTTTATTGTGTTCAATTAAAACTGGTCAACTATTTTTTAGGAAAATGCGCCTGAAAATGCTATAATGGATGAAGGAGACTATAACAGCTTTTATGAAGCAACTCTTGAGGTACGAATAGCAATATTCTATGTTAATTTAACCCTTTCGTCCCTAGCGGTACATATATGTACCAGAGATTTTTTTAAAAACCTGGCAGCCCGATTTAACGTTCTATCTAAGCGGCATTTGTACCACACCGGATCTTTGGGTTCCGTCTTCATGCTTGAGTGTAAAAAATGCCACGTTTTACGCCAGTGGACAGATGACTGCGAACGCGGTGCCACGTGTTGACGATTTCTGCACGTTTTTACAAATTGCTCCTATATGATACAATATTATATTGTTCGTTAGTTCCCAAATTGTTCATAAAGTGTTCCTACATTGAGGTATGTATAAAATAATTTTGTTTATTGTTTTTTGGTGATTTTTTTTTGCTGTGGTACATATGTTTACCAGTCGGGTTTTTTGATGGTACATAAGTTTACCAGCAGGGTTCAATGTATTGTTTTTTTACTACGCGCCAAATAGGCAAAGTACAAAAATCCTGTAAAATAGTAACGTAATTACATGTTGTTTATATAGTGTAAAACCTGTAGGTATATGGATCAGGTTCGATGTATTACAACGCATTTTATTTTGATTTCAGTACCAAAATGAAACGCTGCGGTCGAGCATTAGCCGAGAGGGAACTACAAAATCTCACTGATGAAATGTCGGATTTGTCGGAGTTGGAAGAAGAACTATTTAGTTCTGGATCTAGTGATAACTATGACCCCAATGAAGATGAACAAAGTGATACATCACAGTGCTCAGATTATCACAATCCATCACCACCATTGGTTGACCCTCCATTGAATGATTCTTCCGATTCAAATTTAGGAAGTGAGTCAGAATCAGAACAGGTAATGCAAATTCCAAATAATAAAAATCGGCTTATAGAATGGGTACTGCCGACTGCCTCATTCACTCCTGCAAAAATTATACTTCCTGAAAGATCTGCTGCAGTTCACAAAGAAATAAATAAAAATATGACTCCAATGGACGTTTTTCATAAAATATTTCCCCATTCATTATATCTCCATATAGTGGACTGTACAAATCAGCGAATTGATATTCTAAATAAGACCAAAAAACGAAATGAAAAAAAAACTGATAAAGGAGAAATACAAAAAGTAATAGGATGCATGTTTGTGATGTCTTATAATAAACTACCCGGTTTGAAACATTACTGAAGTCAGCAGAAGTCAATGGGAAATGAAACTATTGCAAGAAAGATATCACGTGATCGGTATATGCTCTTGTCCTCAAAAATGTACTTTGCACCCCCAGAAAAACCAGAAAATCCCTCTAAAACGTATTATGTGGACGACCTAACGCCATGCCTCACACACACACATTTAGTAAATGTCGCCAAGATAGTCAGTTTCAAAGCATTGACGAGTCAATGACTAAATTCAAAGGACGTTCGTCTTTGAAGCAGTATATGCCTCTAAAACCTACAAAACGAGGCATCAAGTTGTGGCTTCGTTGTGATGCTCATTCAGGTTACACTTATGATATAAATGTATACTCCGGTAAAGTATCAACTACAACAGATCAAGATGAAGCTTTGACCCTTGGAGAAAGAGTTGTGAAGTCACTAGCATCAACTATCAAATCTCAAGATGTAGTTCTATGCTTCGACCGTTTCTTTACTAGTGTAAATTTATTGGAAACCATAGATTTCCCCGCTTTTGGTACTTGCATGACCAATAGAAGAAACGTTCCTAAAATAAGGGGTAAACTAAAACGTGGAGAGTCTGAATTCAGGACAACAAATAGTGGGCTGTTGTGTGTCAAATGGCAAGATACCAAAGAGGTACTATTGATGAGTAATTGCCATAAACCTGACGTTACCACCATAAATAAGAAAACAAAAACCGGAGAGCAACAAGTGATTGATTGCCCAGAAGCCATATCATTTTATAGGCAAAAAATGGGAGGTGTTGATAGAGCGGATCAGATGATTGGAGTCTATGATCACGACAGAAAATCTGCGAAATGGTGGAAAAAAGTATGGTACACATGCCTCAGTATGTGTGCCGTGAATTCATGGATTATATATAACGACCTGAGGCGTGAAAACAGAAAGATTGCTTTTCTACCATTTCTGGTAAACCTTGCTGAAGAACTCGTAGCAGAAGGTATCAAAAATACTAATTTTCCACCTCCTAAAAAGGGCCCTGTTTCCAAAAAAAGAAAACTGTATGGAACCACGCCCTTACACCTTCCCGTAGAAGGACAAACCAGAAGAAGGTGTGTAAGATGCTCAAGAGAGAAACATCAAAAAATGACTAAGACTCTCTGTCAAGAATGTAACATACCTTTATTCAAAGACTGTTTCTCACTGTATCACACAAAGTAAGTTTTCCTAAAAGTTTTTGGAAGCTTAGTGTGTGAGAAAATAATGTAGGTTTATTTCTGTGTCTATTTGTTTTTTTTACTTGAGTTGTTTTTATGTCGTACTAACAAAGATTTTATTCTGTAATACCGCAAATCTGTAAACCATTTTAATTTTGTTCAATAAATGAATATTTTTTGTTTCTATGATTTGGTAACTGGTGGTACATATTTGTACCAAGTTAAAAACCTGATGGTACACATATGTACCGTCTCCTCCCCCCCCTGCCCTGTCGAAAAAAATTATTTTTGATAGTGAAGTGTAGTTAGTTGACAAAAATTCAACAAATTAACCGTAAATTTAACTTTCAATTTTATTTTTTCATATTCAGGGACGAAAGGGTTAAACTTATTTGCACATTATCAAGCATTATACCTGCCTAAATATGAATGAATGTTTAACAATACTCTGATATTTTCCTTTATTTATAGTTTCTACAATGTAATCTTAGAATATTCTAGTTGTTTATAACAATACATCCAGTATACAAACTATAAATTATAATAGAGATAAATTTAGAATTTTTATAACTGTTGCAGATTAATACAACACAACTTTCGTCATGTTCTTCAACGCCTTCAAAAAGAAAAACATCTCCAATTGAAAAAAATTTACAACAAAAAGTGGCACCTACCTTGGTAAGTTAAATATTATTTTATATTGGTTGTTAATTATTTTTGTTTAATTATGCAGAGCAATTTTTGACATAGAATTACCTATTAGATTTATTAATACAAGTGAATTATTTTGTTTTTGGGATTATTTGTCCTCCAGAGGGGAGAGTGAAAATCATTGAAAAAAGATCTTGTATCTTTTTTTCTGTAAAATTGTTTTTCCACACTTTATCGCCCATATATGTTTTAGAAAGAAGAAGAAAAAAATGAGAAGTCCATTTGGAAATATTTCAATACAAATGATTTGAAAAGACCTTTAACCCTAGAACGCTAAGCATATTTCTAACCCTACTTAAGACTAAACATTCGTAAATTTTACGACTTTTTTTTTTTCATACCAAAACAAAGAATAGCCAAAAAATGTATTATTTATTAAAAATTGACATTAAAATATCATTATTAAGAACATGTTTGACAAATTTCACCACGGTGCTCACTACAAAATGGTTTTTTACAGTTTGAGCAGAAGTGAGTTGTCATTCGTCTTTTTCTTGAAGGGCACATCGCACAAATGGTTCTATTGGACTTGTTAGTAGCTGTTCTCTCTTCTAGAACTGTATGTCTGTCTTCTGTTGCTGTTTTTTCTAGAATCTGATTTATAGTTTCACGGAGTGAGCGCTGCAAAGTGGGTATTTTCACTCGTTCTTCTAAC